AAAACCCCACCCCCCCCCCCCCCCAAAAAAAAAATAAAAATAGAAGAGGTAAAACTCAATCTAAAAACTAACGAGCCTAAAAATCCGTTCAAGCCAAACTCATTTATAATGCTAGTTAATCGTAAAGCAACACACCCAATAGCTTGGTAACCTACTTGTTTTCTCGATCATCTCTTTTCCCTATAAAACAATGATTGAGTAATTGTCTTCTTTAGTTTGCTTTCGTATTCATTAAGATTGTCGATTTGAAACTGTCATTTTCGTGCTAGTCCCTCCAAGAGACTCCCTCTCTTCCTTTCGTGGTGGGATCGACTCCCCATAACAATACCTGTCCAAAGAATCTCAAAAGATAAAATGAAAATAGAGAAAAAAAAAAAGGCTCAATTCCTCGGTAGCTTCCACTGATAGGAGCAGACACACATAGTCAACACAAGATACCTCATAAAACACACATACAGAAGTCGATTACAAACAGAAGAGGTCAGCATTGTAAGGCTACAGAAAAAGCTTGTACTAGCACAAAACAGAGAAGTATCCAAAGAAAAGTTCTTGAGCAATTTATTTTAAGTAGTTCTGCCCTGCAGCAAAACTACATACAACTCCAGAAAAGGGTTTAAACTTTAAACAACATATCTATATGTGACATAACGGCCAGCAGTCTCGCTTGGTCGGATGATTTTAACCACTTGCCCACGCTTTAGCCCATAATATCTGGCGATGGGATCTGTCACTTGAATCCGAGGTAGCTGAATTCCACCCAATCAACAAAAGCAAAAACAATTGAAGATCAGTATATTACCAAGGACAAAAGAAAATTGAAATATGCATTACAAGTGTTTTGGGAAAATAATAGTGTGACAAACAATGCATCAGAATGGATACAATCACCACTAAGCAATAATTCAAAGATCCCTTATCTAAAAGGAAACTATGTTATGTGTGGATGACTTCTAAAAATTACTTAAAAACTGAACAGAAAGCAACAGATTAAGATGTTCATGGAATTTTGGCGAACTGCTGATCCTTTTCTTTTTCATAAATAGGTGGCATACCATTCCTTTTCTCTTATCATAACCTTGTTACAGAGGTGTCGATGCATAAATTATTATATTTTTCTGCATATGCTTCGGTTTCCAGGAATCTTCATCATCTCCCAAAAGATGATTTGCAAAACATACTACGACAGTTGCATTTTCAGTGAATAGATATAGTCTATCTATTTGTTATCATAATGTATATAACTGGAAACTTATGATCCAACATATCAACTTAATTAAAATTTCTGTGACCAAAGAAAAAACAAAATAAGTAAACAAATAACGTTAAACACCCAATTATAATATCATACAACTTTTTCTACCATGTAATCTCACTTTATAAGTTCAATTCTGCCCCCTAGACATGCACATTATAGTAACTGAAAACAGACCTGAGTCTCTTTCACAGTATATCTGTCCAGCAAAGTCTTTTTTTCTTCAGGTGTAAGCAGCTGGTGCTCAGGAACAAGAACATGATCTTTAATATTCACCAACAACTCTGCCTCCTGTACCAGTAATGAACACTACTGTCATTAACATCCCCCAATAAATTCTGGAAACGATGTGCCAATTAATTGAACTACAGAATCTGCAAACCATAGAAAAAAATCAATTCAAAGATGCTACACTTCCCAAAATATTTCCCATATTTTGCATCCCAAATAAATGTAGATGGTTGGATCAGTGGGTTCCATTATTATTTTTCAATGGGTCCTATTGATCAACCATCCCAAGTGATTTTGGATGCAAAACTTGGAAACTATTTTGGGACACAAAAATACTACTCAAGATGTAATCTGATATGTACCACAAAATTGGTTAATGCCCCCCCCCCCCCAAAAAAAAAAAAAATTTTTGCTCTACAATTTCATGAAAGTAACATTTTAAATCTTTAAAAAAGATGGGCCTAGATGCACTGCAAAGCTTATCAACTGCATCAAAAAAAATCAGACCTTTACAACTTGATGTAGACTCCAATGACATATCCTTCACAGTCGAAGGGGCACCACACTACTGATTGAGGGGAAATGGAAGAAGAAGAAAGGGGAAGGGGGGGGAGGTTATAATGTGCTTGTGTACTATTTAAGATAGTGCAATCATGCCCAGCCATGCAACCATCCCAGCTGGATTAATATTGGTACAACCCTACGAAAGCAGTACAGGCCTTTAAACTAAGTTTTTCCTTTTCCAGTAGACCCCTTGCAGGCTACACAATGTCAATTTAATGAAAGAAATTCATAAAGTGCCCCAATATTTTCAATTTTCAAATTTTTTTTTTTTTGAGTTCTTTAAAAAGGTGGTCTTTTTCCTATTGTCATATTGGCTGAGAGAAAGATGAAAAAAGACAAAATATCATGAAAGCATTAAGGATCACCTGGAAAACTTCCAAGTGGAATTTTGCAGATATTTCATTTATGCATGTTCGAGCAAAGGGAGTTAGATTCTGTTGAACCACCAATATTGCTCGGAAGACATTCTCTGATTTCATCCGATTGGTGTAAGTCTTCATTGTCTTCACTCCAACCTTCGGTTCATCAGGAAAGAAAACATATATCTGCCCCAACAAAAAAAACACCACAAGTCAGTAGACCAACACGAGATTCAACGAATAACAGATAGCATAAAGCATAAAATTCTGCACCAATAACCTCCATTGCTAAATTCAAATATAAAGCAAGAAACCATGACAAAAACAAAATTAAATGCTTTCATCCACACAAACCATGTGTAGTAGACTAAAAAATTCACAACAACAAAGAACGACTAGGTTGAGTTCATATGGATGCAGGGTATATAACATATTACGCGATAACCATTTAAGCACACAGGGGCGGAGCCAAGAATTAAGTCCTGGGTTACAAAAAAATTAATAAGCTTTTTTTAATCAATGATAATATAATAATTCATTCATATTTATTTATGTAGAGACAAATCCTAAGAAAATAAAAACCAATAATAATCCAATTCCAAGCAATCTTATGTTTCAATTCAATATACAACTGACAAATTATAAATATGCAAATCAACGTCAATTGCAAAAAGTCCTACCATTAACATTTAGTTACGGATAATTGCACTCATATTATCAATAAAACACTATTAAATCAAGAAAACAAACCAAACAGAAAAAATTATGGACATAATAGCTGAGAGTTATCAAAACAATGTGTCTTATATTTTATAGAAATTGTCTGTCACGTGTTCACAATCATTGGATTAGGATATGGGACTATAAAAAAGTGAGAGGGTTAATATAACAACCTTTTTACTCAAAAAAACACTTTCGCTGCGTTTGGTATATAGTATTAAGCCTTGGGAATGGAATATGTATTCCATGGTAATGCTATTTAATTGCTAAAATTTAAAACTCATTCATATTCCTAAGTAATGGCCAATTCTACAAATCATAGGATTAGCCATTACCAAATAAATCATGATATTTCTCATTCCAAGCCATGTAGGAATACATGAAATCCTTTCAACCGAAAAATGCGATCATCTCTTCTTTGCTCGGTCATTCTTCACAACTCTTGTTTCTCGCTACTCAGATTTTGATTGTCTCTTCTCCTGCCCTTATCATTCTTCCCCTCTTTTTTCTTCGCATCATCTGTTCTTCTCTTCCTAATGCACATGACACTCCACCCCTCCCACTTTCTGGCTCTCCCTCATCTCTAGGGGTCACATTGGCGACCAGGAGCGGCCAAGATCCGACCAATCTCACATAATTTCTTGCTAAACTTAGTTAATAATTCTCAAATCCAACCTTGAATTTTTAGTGTTTGGGAATTTTTTTTTGCCTCTTCAAATGCAAATTAGTCTCCCGAAAAAAATGATTAGATATGTTTTTTCTATTGAATTCAACGTAAAGAAGTAGCTATTTATGCATATCAGGCCACACATTTGTAATTGACAAATCATAACTTATAGCAAATCCAGTGTACAATGCAGACAAGGTGTTTGTCAAAATGCCAGATAAAAAAAGGGAAATTCCCTTACTTTGTTATGCTATTTGATTCCTGGTTTCATACTCTCACAATCAACTGTTATTTTTTTGTCTTTGTAATTTGTGATAGTTATGACTTATTTAAGTCCTATGATTGAATGAAACATGATTGTGCTAAAAAAAAAATTAAAATTAAATGTTTTTTTGGAGCATTTCTATGATTCAGTTAAATAAAATATTGTCTTTATCTAGGAAGCATGAATACTTCTCAGAGGGGTTCCGTGGCAGTGTCGGACACGTATTCGACACGGGTACACGTCGGACACGACCGGACACGTGTCGAACATAGCTAGAAGTATCCTAAATAGTGAATCCAGTCAAACATGACCAGGATACGTCTAGTACACGGCTAGGATAAGGCCAGAACACGATGAGGAATTTTTTAAAAAAAAGAAAAATAATTGTTGGCTATTAAAAGAGGTGTTATTTCAATTGTTTTTAATATAATTTTGTTATGCAACTTATATCCTATGAATGTCAATAGATGTAATGATGTTTGATGAAAATAATAGTTATTTATTTTGATCTATTTTAATTTTAATCAAAAAATTAATATTTGCTGGATCTTATTATTGATATTGTTATAATATATGTTTTATTTTTAATATATTTTAACTCTATTATTATTTAAAAAATATATTATATTATTTTAATAATTGTATCCTCACCGTACCTGTGTCCTATATTTTTGAATTTTGTTGTATCCCCGATGGGTTAAGGTGGTCTTGTCTTTGTGGGTTAGCACCTAGAAAACTTTTAACTTCAAAACCATTTCAAACATCAAGGCTAGCAATAAAATAGCTAGTGTCCAGATTGGATATTTTTGAAGCTCAGAAACTTCACCTCTTGGACCCCAAAATATCTTTTGGACTTTGCCAAGCTATTGACTTTTGATGGCTATCCTAGCTGTTTTCACTTTTCACCTCCCAAACATTTACTCGATGACAAAGAATTGCAAAGGCGTATATATCAATGCCGGTCCTTCAATCACAAAACACTTGGACTTGGGTGATTTTTCCCCAAATGATTTTATAAAGCAATCAATTATGTGATTGAAGGATTGGCATGTATGGTAAATTTTTCCTATTATGGCAACTATTGGCAAAAGATAACCGATTTATAGGTTTCTAGTTAAAATTTGTTCGGCTTTTGCTTTTATTTATTTATTATTTATTATTTATTTTTCAATGCAAAGTAGTCATCAAAATTGTATTTTCAATTTGAAATGTAACATATAAATTTACAGATTACATTGATTTGAGTCATTGTTGATTATGCCTCCTAAAACCAATGTTATTTAAGGCGTAAAGCTAATCAAAGCGAACTAGTCTCCTGAGGGCCTAGACGAGAAGCGACAAGCGAAGCGAGCGCTTCATCGAAATAAAGCGAACAATATAAAAAATAAATAAATATTTTAGTTTGATACTTTGATTACTCCTAAATATTCAAGTTTTACCTTTACAAATACAATCTATACTACTAATAAAAGTGCCTTAACATGAAAAACTTTTGATTTCTCTATTTTACCCTTATAAAAAGTTATAAAGACTATTTTATCCTTTCACAATTAAATATCTAAATTATCAATTATCTCCTTATATATTTAAATCTCTTAATTACCTCTAACTTCTCTTTTAATTATCTATTCCCTCTATATAAATATCAATTTCTATAAAACTTTTTGATTGACTATATTATTTTTAAAAAATATGCATCGTTATATTTTAAATAAAGTGTTCAAAAAACTTTCAAAAACTTTATCAATTTAATATTACTCATCTCATATGCAAAGATAACATTATCCGCATATATGTTTGTTTTTTTTTATTTAAAAATTTTAATCCTTTTATTTCTAAGATAAAAAATAATTATATATATAATTTTTTTAAATTAATTTATGCTACATCAATATAATTTTTTAGTTTACAAACTTTTTAAGTTGTATTAAGATTTTATGTGAAAATAGTTGTAATTTATTCTAAAGTAAACTTGAATTTTTTAAAATTTTGATATGTTTTAAAATATATATTCTAGAGTATTATATTAAATCTTATTCTAATTGATCTAACTAATTCTTAATAACAGTAAAATTTCAATATAATTTAGTGGTATATTTACAATTACTTTTATTTTATTTAAGGAATTATAAGTGAAATCCTAATCAAATAAATTTCAAAAAATTTAGTTTCTCAAAAAATATTAAAAAATCACTCTCAATCACAAAATTCTAAAAAAAAAAAAAGGAACTTTAATTTTTTTTTATCTTTTTTCTTATTGTTAGAATAACAAATTTTAAAAATATACAAAGTTTCATAATCCTATAATAGAATATGAGTAATTAAAAATTAAGTCTGATAAATTTGAAATAATATTTAATTCAGATACACATACACTAATATATTATACCAATTTTTATATACGAAAATTTTTCACGCATTGCTAGTACATTTAAATGCAACCAAAATAATAAATATCGACATATTTTAAATAGACAAGATATTAAATATTGAACATTATTGCATTCAAAAAATAACCGATTGACATAATCATGTTATCTAATGTAAAACTAGCAAATGTGGGTTCGACTTTCACCATGATTGATTAACATCACAACTAAACGAAGCACTCACAAATAATTAATCAAATAGAGCATATAGCAAATTTATTAACAAGAACATTCAACATCATCTAATCATAAAAAAACATATTGTCATATGTTACTGTTAGATGAATCAATCAATTTATTTTATACATATAAACATATAACATCATCTCTCCTAGGGTTTGGTTAATGTTAAGGAGAAAGAAGGAGGAGAAAATAAAAAAAATTGTAGTCAAGCATTCGCTTTTCTCGCCGGGCTCGTTTCTTCGCTTTGTCACCTAGACTCGCTTTTTCCTCGTTTTACTTAACCTCGCTTCGCTTGGGATGTTCAAGGCAAACAAAGCTCGCTTCGCTTCTCACCTAAGCTCACTTTTCACAACACTGCCTAAAACACTAGAATATATAGTTTTTTTCTTGATCAAAATGGTTACCTCAATTCATATTGCTTATAAGCTTCCAACCAGCATCCCTCATCCTCATCTAGAGTGGGGATTTTTTTTAATTCGCTTTTAGTTGTTGAGGTTTCAAAAATGTAATGTTACTTCTGCAACCAATATGAGGTGAGCATGATGATTGCAAATTTGTTGCCTCCAGTTTTCAAGGTTATCTTGCTTTACTTTTCTACCCCAAAAGTCCTATGTATGTTGATAATATTCCTTTGCATTATTCTGCCCAACTATTGGAATTGTTGTATTTGAACACTTGACTGAGCCTTGCTGTTGATTTGGATTGATGCTTGCATAGTTGAGATATGACATTGGTTAGTTAGTTATTGGTACCTAAATTATTATGTACTTTACGGGATGCTTTCTTCAAAAAATGAACTTATTTGTATTTTTGAATCATGAGAGAGCATAAATGATGAAGATTTCTGAAGAATTGTTGAAACTGCCCGACCTTTCCATTAGTGAGAGGGCCAAAGCCTCGAGTTTGTTGGATCATGACTCAGATCTTAGAAGATTAACTTATTTGTATTATGTAGGATGATGTAACCATATATATGTTTATATTTCTCTTTGTCAATGAAACAATATAAGATAGCATTATGTATGACATTTAAACTCATGTATTTGTGTTATTTTGATTTGTCAATGAATTTAATTATATATTTTTTTTTTATGAAAAAGGTTATATGGTTACTTAAAAGTGTGTTAATTGTGCATTTAATCTAATTTTGGAAAACTATCAGCCAACATGTGTACTTTTTTTTATAGAAGTATATATTGGCGACATTGAGTTACAAGTTTTTTATGATTAAAAATGTGTATTTTTGTCAAATTTCATTCCATTCCACTAAAAATTGTTTTATCCAAACGTAGGTCCATTCCAAGACTTTGCCAAACATTAAAATGGTAATGTTCATTTCATTTCATTCCTATGCTCATTCTTTATTCCCACCTAAAACCATTACTGTGAACCAAATGCAATGTTAATATATATATATATATAATTTAAAAAAAAAAAATTAAGGGTGGGGCTAGCCCCCATGTGGCTCCGCCAATATGGTAAGCGCCTACCATTGAGTAAGAAAGTCACACAAGCATTTCATCAAACACTTAGGAAACGTACAAGCTACTTGCTGCCACACAACAAAATTAGAAAAGCTCGTACCTGATCGGAGCTGTCGTTCCGCTTGGCCTTATTGATAACAAGGTCTTCCCTCTTCATGTTCTCACCATACTTCTGAACGAACTGATGCTTTGTCATCTCTATCTCAAAATCTCCCACCAAGTAACTCCGATCCCTCAACATTTGCATCACTGTTTTTCGGATTCTGAACAGTCTCGTAATCTCTTCGTCTGATGTCGACATCTTTTCTCTAATTAATTTCAAAATTAAATGAGAATTTAGAAATTAAAAGTTTATCACGTAATTTTGAAATTTTTTACGAAATCGAGATTAAATGAAAGAGAACTCACCGGTAGCTTGATGAATCAAAGAGAAGGCTTTTGTGTAAAGAAGTCTAGGAACAAAGGACCGAACGTCAACCCGGTAAAGGGATCAGGTTATTAGATGACTGGTTCAACTGTTGGGTCCCTGGTCAGACCGGTAATATAATAAAAAATTAAAAAATAATTATAAATACTAATAAATAGGCTAGAAAATCACAATAATTATAAAAATAACATCAAACATGTAAAGTTAAGTAGAAAAAAATTATCAAACATGTATCTAATTTCAATGCATTCAATTTTTAATACAACTTGTAAAGTTAAGTAGAGAAAAATACCTTTATTGAAATTCAACGCTTCAAGTCTAAGTCTAACTCTTTGACAATGCATCAATCTAAGCGTAATCCATGTAATTTGTATTCTTTAAAGTTCAAACTTCAAACTCAAATTGTAGGAAGCAAGACACATGAAAACAAAACGAAGCATGTGAGCATAACAAAAGGACTCAAATAAACAAAACTGAAATAAATTATCCAAACTAGTTCCACTTGAAAATACAAATATTACCACTACTATCAATTAACTTGAAATTGCTTCTGTAAATCAGATTGCATCACAGCTAGTAAAATAATCAAACACTTAAATCAGAATTCTGCAAATCATATAGCATCATAACTCATAAAATTATCAAAATTACATCATAACTCATATTCTAAAATATCTTTTTTTTGCTAGTACCAAGATAATCAAAACATCAAATGGACAACTATTCAAAGTGCAAAATCAACATATTCAGTTATATATCAGCTGGGTTAATCCTAGGCTTCAAAGAAACTTGCACATAATCCAAAAAAATCGAAAAACACACTCAAAAACACAAGCCCAGAAAAAAGAAACTGATTGCCAAGTGAGTATGATAAACAAAATAAAAAACAAAACAGGGAGGAAAAATTCTTCATTTCAAGATCAACAACAATAATTTCATATATAACACTTGGCCTGTAAAATAAACACATAAAATCAGTCAAACTGGGTAATCTAAAAACCACAAAAAATCAAATCTAAAGTAAGACAACGAAGGTGGTCTCAGGCTTTATCACATCAAGAGGGGGAAAAAAGTTGGTATTTTTACCTACAAAAACGGTGATTCTGAGAGAGACCCAGAACCAGAAAGTGAATCATCTTCCCCAGAAAGAAAATTTTCAATACAGTGACTGATTACAGTCACTGAACGAGAGAGAGAGAGAGCGTAGGGGGGAGGGAACTCACCTCGTCGCTGGTGGAGGCTGTGCTCAGTCGCTGCTGCCCGGTGGTCTGGATCGATTTATGGCGGAGGTCTCGATCGATTTAGGGCAAAAGAGCAAAATGCCCAAAAGTGCCAAAAACCTATCATTTGTACAAATAATTTTAAATAGGCTTTCCAGGGGCTGCTAAACGGGCAGGTAATGGGCTTTTTTTTTCTGCAAAATTTATATATTTTGTTATTTTTTTTAATTTTAATAGACAATGTCGGGCCTTAATCGGTTCAAATAAGGTCATTGGTACACAGCCTTACCCATTAGCTTATCGGACTGTCTTGGGGTCAAGAGTTTTAATCTGGTGAAAAATCTGTAAATTACTTTACTCACTTAAATAAATAGGTGAAAAATATCAATACTGATAGGCCAGATCCAATGACCTAACCCATATTATAAGTCCGGTCTAAGCTAATGATCCAATCCCAAGAAATCTAATAAGTTCAACCTAAAGGAGGCCCAAACCTAATCAAGCTCATAAGGGAGCCACACCACCAAGTGAGCATCAAGAGCCTCACCTTCGCAGTTTGGAGAGAGTCAACCTCCCTCATCCATGATCAAGTCCTTTGGAGAGCACCATAACCTTCTTGTCGGTTAAGGAGAAGAGAGGTCGAGGAGAGGAGAAGTCGTCAAGAGATTTAATTACTATTAAACAGCTCCAATTATGACCGTAAGATTAGCTATTCAATTACTACGCAAATGACTATAAATTTTGAGCTCCTCCAACACTTGGGGGACATCTCATAAAAATCAAGTTCATCTCATCTCCCTCTTGTAATTCTTGCTCTCCCAACGCACCAGAGTCAATAAAATTCTCAGCGAACCTAGCCATTGAAAGTGGATGTAGTCTCATTGGCCGAACCACTATAAACCTTGTTTTTTCTCTCCTTCTACTTATTTTACTGCATTTTATTTTGTTTAATTGACAGGTGGTGTGCAAATCGATATCGTGCATCATCAGTTTGGTGCCGTCTGTGGGAACGACAAAATTCTCACTTAAACATTTTCTTTGCTGAATCAAAGGCAATCACCACCAGATCCATGAATCAGCCTGAAGACATTCCATCACGAGAGGAGGATGTTGCTTCTCCACCCAATCCAGTCCCCAAATGCGCAACAGATGCTGGAGATCATGCAACAGCTCAAAGCTCAGAACCAGCAAATTCTGCAATTGATGCTCGGGCAACAAGGAAGAGTGCAGCCTAGACCTCAAGCCAAGGAAACTCTACTCCCTGGTCATCAAGGAGCTCCTCACCTTGGTGCTCCCCATCCAGTCGCCCCCTGGGTGCCCTCTTTGGGAGTTCCCTTGGGCACCCCATATAGGGGGGCTCACCATAAGGGTCCTCCTCCAGCCTCTACTCCGACTCTCTATGGTGGAGACCCTCCTCTCCAAGAGGACGAGAGTAAAAACCAAAGCATAGAGTATGAGAGTCATTTTCATGGTAATTCTAGAGTACCTCCTCCCAATCAATGGGACGAAAAAAATAAAAGAGGTGCAAAATCAGCTACGTGACGTTTCAACGCCATGTAGGCACAGAGCCCCGAGACAGTAGACTTTCTCGTAAGTCGAACTGACACACCTTTCAAACCTAACGTAGCGAACTATCCACTCCCCTAAAAGTTCAAGATGCCATCCATTGAGACCTTTGATGGTACGAAGGATCCGTTGGACCACCTTGAAACTTTTAAAATCTTGATGCAACTGCACAACATTCTAGATGAAATCATATGCAGAGCATTTTCAACCACCTTGAAGGGATCCGCTTGGCAATGGTTCGTCAAACTCTACTCAGCCTCCATTGGCACATTTGTTGAGCTGAGTAGGTCTCTCGTGTCACACTTCATTGAAGGACGCACGCCACCAGAAGCCTGCCACCCACCTGCTCAACATAAAGCAGGACCGAGATGAAAACCTGAGGAGCTACCTCACTTGTTTTAATGAGGAGGTCCTTCAGATCGAGGAGCCCGATTATGAGGTGAGCATGACCGCCTTCCTAGGGGGCCTCCGATTGTCAAGTTTTCTTTTCTCTGTAATGAAGCACCCATCGAAGAGCATGCTAGAGTTGCTGGCGAAGGCCCAAAAATACATGAATACCGAGGACATTACAAGGGCCAGACGAGGGGAGTCCTTTAGAGCTGGAGAGAAAAGAAAAGAAAAAGATAGAGACGATAAGAAGGAGAATAATAACAAGCGTAGCAGGACGGAGAGAATGCCTGCCAAAGATCGGCTCGGTTCTGCTCCCCAGAGAGATCGACAAGCCTTCACTCCACTCAATGCCGCCGTCGGGCACATCCTATTACAGATCCAGGATGACCCCGCAATAAAGTGGCTTAGGAGAATGAAGTATCCCCTAAACTGAAGGAACCCAAACAAGTATTGTCGTTTCCCTCACGATCATGGCCATGACACCGATGATTGTTATGGCCTCAAAATGTAGATTGAGGAGCTCATCCAATGGGGTCACCTACGCCAGTATGTTGCTGGTAGGGGACATACGCCAGCACATCCCCGTAATCAGGAAGACCAACAGCCTATTGGAGAAGTTCACACCATCTCCGGAGGGCTTGTAGGGAGAAAAGAATCCCTCTCTGCTATGAAAGCTCATGCCAGAAAAGCTAAGCACCTCGAAGAATTGCGTCCATCCAAGTCTCCCAAGTATGGCAATAGCGAGGTCATATCATTCTCAAACAAAGATTTGGAAGGGATCTAACATCCCCATGACGACCCTCTGGTGCTCACCATGATCGTCGTTAACTTGCAAGTACGAAGGATTCTCGTGGACAACGAAAGCTCTGTGAGTATCTTGTTCACAGAGGCATATAACAAACTCAACTTGGGCAGAGAAATATTGTAGCCCATCAGGTCGCCCCTCATTGGGTTCTTAAGGGAGAAGATGTATCCCCTAGAGTCCATCACCCTATCTGTCACTGCCAGAGCAGCACCTCAAAACTCCACGATCATGGTTAACTTCTTGGTGATAGATTGTCCTTCAGCTTATAACATCATTTTAGGCCGACCAGCTCTCAATACCTTAAGAGTTGTGCCCTCCACCTACCACCTCATCCTCCGTTTTTAAACTTTGAATGGAGTCGGAGAGGTGCGAGGAGACCAAGTAGTCGTAAAGGAGTGTTATGTTTCCTCCATAAAGACGAGGAAACCACAAGAAGCCCTACAAGTGGAGGTTCTTGATCCAATGGATGATGCCACCATAGAAAGAGGAGAACCAGTAGAGGAGCTCAGACCAGTGGTCCTAGATGAGGAATATCCAGATCGAAAAGTGTACATTGTCTCTTATCTTTCTAAAGATTTGGTCCGCCAGCTAACAGACTTTTTGAGGCTCAACATGGACATTTTTTGCGTGGTCACATGTGGATCTTGAAGGTATTGATCCTAAGGTCGCCACCCACCGCCTCAATGTCGACCCTCACCACAAACCTATTCGCCAAAAGCTAAGGGGTGCCTCCACTAAAAGGGGCCAAGTGATGGAAAAAGAGGTAGAAAAGTTGATAGAGAATGGAATAGTCAGAGAAGTAGCCTATCCTGAGTGGCTCTCAAATGTGGTGATGGTGACTAAAGTTAATAAAAAGTGGCGCCTCTGCATCGACTTTACTGAGCTCAACAAGGTGTGCCCGAAAGATAGCTACCCATTACCACGAATTGACCTCCTTATTGATGCCACCACAGGACATGAATTACTCACCTTCTTGGATGCATATTTTGGGTATAACCAGATTAGCATGCACCCCTCAGACCAAGAAAAGACATCGTTCATCACACCAAAGGGGACCTACTACTACAGGGTCATGCCCTTCGGGTTAAAGAATACAAGAGTGACTTATCAACGTTTGGTAAACAAGATGTTCCAGTCACAGATCGGGAAAACAATGGAGGTGTATGTGGACGACATGCTAGTGAAGAGTCTCACCGCGGTGACCACATTGACCACCTCCAAGAAACCTTCAATGTTCTTAGATTGTTTTCGTATGAAGCTGAACCCCGAGAAATGCATTTTTGGCGTTAGAACGGGAAAGTTCTTGGGTTAACCAAAGGGGAATTGAGACAAACTCCAACAAAATTAAGGTCATCCTTGACATGAAGTCACCTTCCTCCACCAAGGAGCACCAGCGCCTCAATGGGAGAGTTGCGGCACTTAACAGGTTCATTTCCAAGTCAGCAAACAAATGTCTACCTTTTTTCAAAATTCTCCGAAAGACCTTCGAGTGGGGACCTGAGGCAGAAGAGGCCTTCCAAAAGCTTAAGGCCTACTTGGTTGCACCTCCACTCTCTTCATATGCTACGTCAGGTGAGACATTATTCTTGTATCTCTCTGCTTCAGTGTTGGCAGTAAGCTCCGTCCTCATCAAAAATCACGACAGAGTACAAAAACCCATCTATTATGTGAGTAGAGCATACTGAGGAGCAAAAATTAGATATTTGGAGCTAGAGAAGCTAGCGCTTGCCCTCATCTCAACAGCTAGGCGTCTACGACATTAGTTCCAGAGTCACACCGTAGTTGTGATCACAAATCAGCTTCTAAAGAGAGTCTTGAAAAAATCGGATGTAGCAAGGAGACTCCTTAAGTGGGCAATGGAACTGGGAGAATTCGATATTCAATACCAGCCAAGGGCAGCCATCAAAGCACAAGCATTGAAAGATTTTATTGCTGAGCTTACACGAGCAGAAAAGGAGGCCAATAAGCTTTCCACACTTCAGACGCTGAGTCTAGACACACAAGGCAATCAAGCGCCCGACAAGGACACCCAGATGCTTGGCGAGAATAATGAGGCATCCAGACCAAGCGCCCAGGACAGCACAGGTGCCCAGGCGACAAGGGTAGGTGCCCAGGCACCTAGGCTTGGCTCCCAAGCTCCTCTAGGTGCCTAGATCTCCTCTCCAGACACCCAACTTTCCACCTCAAGGGACCAGCCTCCTTCATTAGGCGCACAGCTTGACGTCCAGCCCACTTTAATCTTTGAGCCCTCCTCTCTACTACTCTGGAAGTTCTATGTAGATGGCTCCTCGACCAGTGAGGGAGGAGGAGCAGGTCTGATCTTGATTAGCCTTGAGGATACTCCCCTTAAGTATGTATTGAAGTTCCATTTTGCTTTTTCCAAAAATGAGGCAGAATACAAAGCCCTCCTCTCTGGATTAAGATTAGCAGCTGAAATAGAAGCCCAACACATCACCACTTATAGTGATTCTCAACTGATTGTTAATCAAGTAAAGGGCGAGTTTGAAGCAAAAGGAACCAGAATACAGGAATACCTCGGCATGATGGAAAGCTTGATCACAAAGTTCCAATACATCCAGATCTGTCACATCCTGCGAGAAGACATGATCGCTGATAAACTTGCTAGACTCGCCTTATCCTTGGAAGCCCCACCACGAGGACCATCATTCATTGGTCACCAGTTCGGACCAAGCAAAGTAGACACGAAAGTCATAAATGTCAACTGTGCATCGGCTGAGTCGAATTGGATGACCCCGATAAGGGCATACCTCCAAGAAGGTGCATTGCTAGAGGATCCTCTAGAAGCTAGGAAGCTCAGGATGAGAGCCTCTAAGTTTATTATACAAGACAACTTGTACAAGAGAGGCTATTCCTTGCCACTACTGAGATGCCTCTCCCCTGAAGAAGCGGACTATGCCATGCGGGATATCCATAAAGGGGTTTGTGGAAATCACTTTGGAGGACGCTCCCTCGCCCACAAGGCGCTTAGACAAGGCTACTTTTCTGGCCTAGAATGATGAGGGATGCCTAAGAATTTATCAAGAAGTGCGACAAGTGTCAGCGCTTCACCACTATTCCTAGACAGCCACCAGAGGAACTCACAGTCATCATAAGTCTGTGGCTCTTCTCCAAATGGGGCATCTACATCCTAGGCCCCCTACCTCTCAATAGAGGACAGTGTAAGTTCATAGTAGTAGCGGTGGACTACTTCACTAAATGGGCAGAGGTCGAACCCTTGACAAAGATAACAGATGCAAAGGTCAAAGTTTTTATTTGGAAGGATCTGGTCCATCGCTTCGGGATACCCCATGTCATTGTAAGTGACAACGCCAAACAGTTTTACAACAAGCTCCTGAACTCATTTTGTTCTTACCTTCAAATAAAACAACCTCATTCAAGCCCAGTGCACCTGCATGCGAACAGACAATCGAAAGTTATAGTGAGGACGGTGCTACGCAACCTAAAGATAAGGTTGAAAAAGGTGAAAGGTCTTTGGGTTGACGAGCTCCCAAGTGTATTATGGGCCTACCGCACCACACCAGGAGCTCCAACTGGAGAAACTTTATTCTCCCTTGATTTTGAAACTGAGGCAATCATCCCTATGAAAATTGGGATGCATTCTCTAAGGGTCCAACACTACCACCCCGACACCAATGAGTAAGGACTCCACATCAACCTTGACTTGGTAGAGGAGGCCAGTGAGATGGCTGTGGTCCACAATGCGGAGTACAAATGCCGTATGGTAAAGTACTACAACTCGAGGGTAAAACCTCGTTTCTTCCAAACAAGAGACTGAGTCTCAAGAAAGTGATCCTCGCCACAAAG